TAAGAGAACGACAGGAAAGGACTGGATGCAGATCGCCCAAAATAGAGACCAATGGAGATTAACAGGGGAGGCCTATGCCCAAGAGTGGGCGTTTAAGGCTGATTAGATAGATAGATAGATAGATTTATTTTGAATATTACTAGATGGATTACTAAGGGGTTATGTAGAATGAATCCTGATCAAAAATCTCTTGAGAAAGTTTAAAGTAATCATCTTTCAACATCATTACTACCGTTACATTACATTTGTCAGATTTAGTCACTACTAACTCAGGGTGGGATTTGAGGAAACGTTTGGTTTCTTCAAAGAGACTTTGGAGGAGAGAAGGGGAACTCCTACGGTTAAACGAGTTTTTAGTGATTATGGTAATCGATCGGGTAATTGCAATATTTGCAATTGCTAGATGATCATCAAATGCTGATATAAAATCAATATCTGATAAAAAAGGTTTAAAGGGGGAATCAATACCTAACCATGGTTCAATGCTAAACTTAGGACCTGACGAGAGAAACTTTCTTTCACACTCCTGTGGGATATTTGTACAAGCCATTGAAAGACAAAGTACCAAACTCAGATAAAAGTGATGTATACAAACTTCGTTGTTTAGGTTATTATATAGGTCACACCTCTCAAAATGGTTCCAGCCGTTTGACTCTTCACAAAAGTGGCATTATAGTGGCATTATTAGTGGTTACACCCTAATTGATGTTCCCTAGCCACCCATGTTAACACAACAGGGCACTCTTTCGATTTTCCGAATGTAAAAATCCTGTCCAGGGAGATTAATTATTCAAAAAGATTGTTTTTCGAGATGGCATTCATTTTCCAAGAGAAAGAAACCATCAATAAAAAGACAGATACCAACAATTTGAGCAACATATACCTACTCATTATTGTTAACTTTAGATAACTACAAATATACTAATAAAGAAAATTCAGCGCCTATCAGGTATGCTATTTCCTTATATACAGGGTATCCAGAAACTCTCGTGATAAACGAAGACTGGAGATTCCTCAGATAATTTTAAGACAATTTAACCCAATTCATCTAGTTCAAAATGCTTCCTAAGGAAGCTAGAGCTCTTTGAAGATTTTTATTTAATAAAATTCTAATAGTAATCTTATGATTATTGCTACCTGATCATTCATTATGATCAATGAGCAAGTTAGTTCTATATACAAAATATTACAAAAACTTATCTAAGGTTACATTCAGCAATATTCCTTAGGCTCTAATACATTATAGTACTACCAGCTAACGTGTACACTTTAGTAGCCGCACTTTGCTCTGCTTTTTCACTTTCACTCACTTATAGCACTAACTCAAACAGATTTGTTTTCTTAAGTCTTCTTATCTGGTTGCCCACATGTCCATATCGGTTTAAGGACCTGCTTATACAATAACAATTTGTTAAAAACGTCCAAGTAGACAGAGTGGATTTTTTTTAATCAATCAGTACATCTTTCTAAACTTAATTTTTAATACCTCCTTTTTTTTTTCTTAATATGTGCTTTATAACGTAGCTTGGAATCTAATGTCATACCCAAATATTTTGCCGTATTTGCATAAGTTATTTGGTTTCTATGTATACTAACTATATATACTAACATGAACAGATTTTGCCCAGATGTTAATTTGTTCTACAGAGTTCTTTAGCATGCTTGCTGCAATCTCGCGGTTTTGTCCGATTGCTAAAATGCATGTTTCTGCAAACGCCGCAATTGTGTTAGGTTCTAGTGATGGAATATCGCTGGTATAGAGCAGGTATAGCACTGGCCCCAGGACACTTCCTTGTGGAACTTCAACTTTAACTTCTCTTAATTCTGAATATGCTTCCTCATATTTAACTCGAAAGTAACTGTCGGATAAATTAACTGCTAAAAAGACCAGGGGCGGAGATCTCATCCTTGAAGTAGCAGGGAAAGAACAGCGCCTGAAGAAGACTATTGTGGCCCGTAAGGAGGGAAACACGGTAGAAGACGTCCCTGGTTATCAAGTTCAAGTTGATATATTTGACATAGACGGAGATGTTACAAAGGAAGAAATTCTGAGGCAGGTCTGGAGATATACCGGCAGTAGGGGGCCTAATTATGTCAAACTCGTCTCTATAAGGGAAAATAGAGACGGGAACACAAACGTCACGGTCGGACTGACGCGGATCGCAGCCAAGAAAGTATTGGAGAAAGAACACATACCCATTGGCTGGAACTCGTGCAAGATATGAGAGAGATTGCACATCCAGTGATGCTCTAAATTCCTGCAGTTCGGGCATAATAAAAACGAATGCAAGGGAGAAAACAGAGCGGACTGCTGCTATAGATGTGGCAAAGAGGGTAGAGAGATCAGGCACGAGAATGTAGTAATTTGGAGGCTTTTTGTCTCACTTGTAAACAAGCCGGGCACAAAGCCGACAGCTTACGATGCCCGGAGTATAGAAAACTGATATTGGAAAAACGGAAGTTCAAGAGAGACCCTATCAGAAGGGAGGAGGAAAGAGTGGGTCAAAGCACTTAGGACCAGGAATCAGACAGCGTACGGGTAATTAAGTTAAAGAGATAAGACCCATTTATTACGAAGTTTCTACAAATAAATGTGGGAAGGTCGAGGGCTGCTCACGATGTTGCAGAGCCACTGGCACGACGGGAAGGTTATGGCATGATCCTATTTCAGGATCCCAACGTAAAGTTGATCTGTAGATAGGGGATCATTAAAGATAGGAAATCTGACGTGGCCGTGTACGTAGTGAATCGAGGAGGTGGCATTACTCCATTAAGAATGGTTATGTTAAGGTATATGTCGGAAACCTGGTAGTATAAAATTGCCATGTTTCACCAAATATCCCGCTTCGAGTATATGTAGAGTACATTGACTCGATTATGCAAGAGGCTAGGATGGAGACTGTACCAGTCGTCATAGCTGGTGACCTGAATGCGAAGGATCGTCCATGGAACCCACTAGTGCAAGATGGGAGAGGGAAATATCTATCAGAATGGATCCACGCAATGGGGCTTACCGTTTTAAATGACGGTAAGGTACCTACATTCGTAAGAGGTAATAGTGAATCCTTTCTGGACATCACACTGGCTTAAAAAAATTTCTAAACAGGATCGTAAGCTAGACTGTTTTCGAAGAAGAATCGCTTAGCTTACACAAGTATGTGAGTTTTGAAATAGCTAGCAAAAGACAGAAACGTAAAAATGGGGATATCAATATAAAGAGATGTTTAAATGAGGAGGTTTTTGTAGATGCTTTTGGCTTGATTGGTCCGGGATGTCAGGATGTGTGTGAGTTAATTGAGGGACTGAGTGATGCACAGGAGTAGTCTTGTGTAAGATCAAATGGGAGGTATGAAAAAAAAAAACAACCATACTGGTGGAACAAACAGCTTGAAAATCTGAGGACAAACTGCATGAGAGTAAGAAGGGAGTGTAAAAGGTTAAGAAGAGTACAAGCAGTAGATTTGGAAGAGAGAATAAATGAATTAAAGCGAAGAAGATCTAAGCAAAAAAGGTGTCAGGACCTGCTTCAGGATCTCGAAAGGGATATCTGGGGGCAGGGCTTCAAGATTGTCTGTACCGAATTAAAAGGGAAAAAGACACCCTACCCCTGCCTGAGGAGGAGAAACTCCGTTTAATACGGGGACTTTTTCCTCAGGTGGAGGATAGGCGTAAAAGGGTTATTGGTTATTTCTTCGGGCTTGTCGAAGATTTGCCGAATGGCTTTAAAACTTTTCGCGGGAATGTTATCATTATTGGTGTCTGAATTGACCGACTGATGGTCGCTCAGTTCGCTGTTGGCGTCCTCGTCATGCGCAGTCAGGTATGCTATTCCCGCTTCCATCTCAGATTTCTCCGAAATGGCGGGAGATAGCTGGGCAGAGGAGGTTGAGACTGGAGTTGTACAATCATGTACATACTCTGTCTCAACAGCTGGGGATTGGGTTTCGTCAATAAAGGAATCGACAAATTCAGCATAAAGTTGTGTTTCCACAAAATCAGCTAGGAGTTGAGTGGTTTCCTTATGGAAAACAAACGACATTTTCAATATTTCTAGTTTAGAAGAACTCTGTTTTTGTTTGTCCACTCGACACGTGTCGAGTGGATTCTGGGTGTCGTCCGAGACCTTAGCCTCGGTAGTTCGCTCCCGTTACCAGAAGGTTTCCTCTTGATGTTTCTCAATCTGAAGGTGCAGGGGCCGTTTCTGTTCGACCTGGATTAAATAACCAGGCCTCACAGTGTTATGCCTGTCGTCACCGTGCAAATTCCCGCACTTTTCTGCGGTGCTATTCTGTTATAGCCCTCCGAGAGAGGCCTATAAAGACAACCTCTCTGTGGTTCAAGCTAATAACTAAATAGGATTCGCTCTTCGCTTTGTTATGTTTCAAATGCCTAAGCCACTTTCGGTGCATACTATCACCGGTGGAGCTAACGTGCAATGCACGTCTTCACTGTTCGACTTCTAGTCGAACGCTTCGACTCTCCTGGTCGCTACGTTTACTTTTTATAGCCGCAAGGTTTCTTGTGATTGGTCCTGTCCGTGTGTGGGTAGGCGGAGTCTTACTAGTCGGTCTTTTGGTCTAATGTATTTTTGACTTATTCTTTAATACCGTTTTCCATGTTGTTGGAATCACTTGAGCATCATCTCTTTGGTTAAGACTGTTGGGATTTTTTTATATTTCTATTGATTCTCTGATTACGCGTTTTCTTTTAATTTTAATGTTAGCTATCATCTTAGTTTGGTTCAGGTTTATTATATGTCCTGTGTTTGAGTCTCAATGTAACATATATATATATATATATATATATATATATATATATATATATATATATATATTATATAAATATGTTTATATATATATATATATATATATATATATATATATGTATATATATGTATATATATATATATATATATATATATATATATATATATATATATACATTATATTATTTTGTTGAAAAAGTTAACAATGTAAACATTTTCTTTAATAACTTCTTAGATATTGCATTAATCAAAAATAATGCAAAAGTTGCTGCTGCTATTGCTGCAGCTTTGGCCAAACTTGAACAATCTCAAGGAGAAGATAAAGGTACATCCATAATTGGAGAAAACATTCAACGACGACCTGTTAGTACATAAAATTATGTTTTTTTAATGATATATCTGATAATTCTCTACAAAATAGTAAATTATCTATCCTTGTAATATATTTTTGCTATCTTAGAATTAAAATTTTGGATTTTTAGACTTTATTGTATTTACATATACCCATTTGGAAATACTTTTTTTTAGATTATTATTGGTGGTTCCAATATGGATTGCAGTGCTGTCCTTGACACAGATAATATACAGGTAAGTACCTACTATACATATAGGGTTATTAAGATATAATACAATGTACAATTATAAATGATCTTCAAAAACACACACTTGAAAATTTATAAAGTGTGACGATAATTTACCAACACAATATTACTAGTATAATTCGAAATTTAATTACTTACCAATATCTAATATAGAACGTTGATTATTGAAAACATAAAAAAAATTCCTTAAACTTACTTTTACCTAATAGATTCACACAGTGAAACAAGTTATTATTTATGCCATACAATAGTAATAATGGTACACCACTCTCTATATTGTTTCCATTATTCATAATATATTAACTTAAAAACTGCAACTGTCAGAACCTGATCGTCCTAACTTTATTCTTAATGTATAACAGTCTAAATATACTTTTACGCTCATATTAGTCGTTGTCATTAATAAGACTATGTTTTAATGGATTAGGTTCAACAAAAATCATTTTATAAGTGCCTCACCAAGAACGGCAACAAATGGTGAACAATATTTGTAGTTTGTTTAAACTTTTGCGAGAAGCACAGAAAATCTTCGCAAAGTCATTTGGAAAACTTCACTAGAGTATTTAATGTACACAAATGAGCTATCAGGAAAAAAATCATTAACAAAATCTCATCACAGAAGACTGGCAAACATGAAGATAGACACACTGCTGGATATTCACGTTTTAAGACATGGTACACGATATTAGAAATAACAGTGATGGTAAACTAAATAAGAAATTTTTCCACTTCTTCTTTTCCAGTGCTTTATCTAGTCGTGATAATGGCCATCGTAAAGGCAATCAGGGTTCTGTTAACCACTCTTCGAAATAGTTCAGCGGAGGTCGTTTAAAATAATTGTCGAAGGTTTTTCAGCCACGAAATACGATGGCGTCCGATCCCATTTTCTCAAAAATTTTGTCCTGTATGACGAGTTAAAGAATTCGCTTAAAGCTTTCTTCAAAGTGGCCGAACTACTCAAGCTCACATTGTTTCACTAAGATAAGCAGCTCTTTCCTTTTCTCATAGCCTGAAGGACTTGTGAATATTGACATAGTCAACATAAGATATCTTTAATATCCTCCTGTATGTCCACATCTCGCAGGCTTCAATTTTTATTTACATAATAATAAACAATATGAAATTACGCTTGAAAAGACTAGAAAAGAAAAAAAAAGCCAATGATGTAATAATATAATGACAATAGATACAAAGGATAGAAAGTACTGAAACAAGCTGTAGGAAACTTTATTGAGAAAGAAATGAACATCAATCTTCAAATAGGAGAAGCAATTAAACTGGTAGAAAAAAATATGTTTGGTCAAACTACAGAACAAGCTTGAAAACGACAAGGTCATCTAAAATAAAGCTAAACTAAAACGCATAAAAGATTACAAAGTGTATATAAATAATGATATAATAAGATATACAAATACAGAAAAAATAAGTCAAGTCGCCAGAGAAGAAATAAATAAGAACAGAAGTATTAAAAATAAAATAAAATGTAATTATAGAATAGAATAGAATAGAATAGAAATATGCTTTATTGTCACTGAAAATTATTGAACAATTTTATGGACAAAGCTAAAAAATAAATCAGTCAAATAATACAAAAAGTATAAAACAAAAACAATATAGTAAAAAACAGAATAACACAATTTTAAATTAGTAAAATTATTGTATAACCTACATAATTTGTACAGACAACAACAAATGAGACAAATTGTAGCCACTGCTTTAGACCCCCAAATGTAATTATAAACAATACTAATTTTGTTTCTTTGTTATACATAAAGAAACTCGTCAACTGAATAATATGGTCTTTCTGAGAGATAGATTTTTGTCACCTTACGAAACTTAATGAAGGATGTTGCGGATTTAATTTCTCTTGGAAGGTGATTATAAAGTTTCTTTGCACGATATAGAATAGAATTCTTTACTAGCTGAGTGGACGGGATCGGCAAATAAACGTTACAATCCGAATTTCTAATGGAGTAGCCATGGTCAGGTCTATCAGGAAAAATGTTTAGATGCTTTCGAATCAAACAAACAGTTTCCAAAATAAATAAAGAGGGAAGCGTCAAAATTCCGTGATTTTTGAAGTAGGTCTTGCAATGAGTTGTTTGTTTGAGACCAAATAGATAACGGATTGCTCTTTTTTGCAACTTAAAAATAGTATCAAATTGGGCCGCTGTACTAGAACCCCAAAATGGAAGCCCATATCGAAGATGGGACTCGAACAATGAGAAATATGCCATTTTGGCAGAAGATAAATTTAGTTCCTTCGAAACAGATCTTATTGCAAAGCAAGCTGAGGCTAGTTTCTTACTTAAGGAATCAGTATGCAAGGACCATTTGAGATCACTGTCAATGAGAATACCTAGAAATTTCACGGAATTTACGATATTGATTTGGCTCTCATTCAAAAGCAAGGGTTGCATGACTCCTTTATAAGATAATGCTACAGTCTTATCCACGTTAAAGCTAAGTAAGTTGGAGTCTGACCAAGCCTTGATTATAAGTAAATCGTCGGTTATAATTGAATGAAGCGTTGAAATATCAGAGCTGCTCCAAGTAATACTGGTATCATCAGCAAATAGAAAAATTTTCCCTTTAATTTTCAAGTAAGTGATGTCATTAATGAAAAGTAAAAAAAGAATGGGACCTAATACTGAATCTTGCGGTACTCCACACTCAATATCTTTACAACTAGAGTCGGTGTCATTTATTCTAACCAATTGTTTCCTACCTACCAAGTAAGTTTTGAACCAGTTCAAAGACACCCCGAATTCCATAGAAAGCTAATTTTTTTAATAGAATGTCGTGATTTACGCAGTCAAAGGCTTTGGAATAGTCGCAGAAAACGGTGGCGGAGGAGAGGTTACTGTTTAGTGATAGATATACATCATGTAACACAGAAAATATGGCATCACTAGTGCATTTATTAGACAAAAAGCCAAACTGATTTTGCTATAAAATATTATATTTAAGGAGAAAGGGCATAAGTCGAACTTTTATGAGTCTTTCAATAATTTTTGATAGTGCTGGTAACAAGGCAATAGGTCTATAGTTGCAGGCATCAGATTTTTCTCCACCTTTATGAAGAGGAATGACGATGGCAGTCTTTAGGCAGTTAGGGAATGTACCTTTTTCAAGGGAATCATTTACTAGCGAGACCATGACGTCCAAAACATTATGCGGTAGATTTGAGAAAATTTTAATTAAAAATGTAATTATAATTAATAATGTGGATCTTACAAAGGCATTTGACCGGGTCGAATTAAAAGACGTTATCCACTTAATGTATGCAAGTGAGATACCTCTAGGAATAATCAAAACGATCGAAAATAGCTACCAAAATAACACAATAAAAGTAAAAGTAGAAGAAAAATTAGCCGAATTTATTGAAGCTGACAATAGGATAAGGGAGATTCCCTGAGTCCTCTATTGTTCAACCTGATTATGAATGAAATAATAAAAAAAAATAAGAACTAAAAAAGGATACCAAATGCGAGAAAAACAACTTAAAATAATCTGCTATGCAGACGACGCAATACTACTTAGTCCCTCAAAGTGAAGATGGTTTACAACGTATGCTGCACCAATTTTATATCTTCTTCTTATAGTGCCGTGCACCTATAGTGCGTTGGCGAATTATCTTAAAGCCAGACGTCTGTCTTTTGCGGCATGCAAAAGATCGCCAGTGTTATTTATGCCTGTCCAGTTCTTTATGTTTCGTAGCCACGACATTTGTTTGCGACCTACCGTCGCTCTTGCCGTCAATCTTTCCCTTAATGATTAGTGGAGGGATTGCGTATTTTTTTCCTCTCAGAATATGCCCGAGGTATCCAATTTTTCGTACCTTGACCAAATTGAGTAGTTCTCTCTCAGTATTTGCCTTTCTTAAGACTTCCTCGTTTCTCACCCTATCTGTACATGGTATGCGGAACATTTTTCGCAACGTCTATATTTCAAAGGCCTCCAACTTATTAATGGAAGGTACTCTTAACGTCCATGTTTCCATGCCGTATAACAATATGGACCATACATAGCATTTAACCATCCTGTAGCGAAGATTAAGGAAATATTGCGGGTACATAGTAGCGGTTTAAATTTAATAAAAGCTTTTCTTGGTTGTTCGGTACGGCATTTTATTTCTTGTTGAGGATACCATTGGTCATTTATCATCATCCCCAAGTATTTAAACGTTTTCACTTGATCGGTTGGAGCATTATCTACTTGCAGTTGTATTCAAAAAAGTGCGTTTTTTCTTATTTCCATGCATTTAGTATTTCCAGCATTTATCTTCAAGCCATATATTTTTCCTACGGTGTTTATTTTATTTAACATAAACTGCATATCATGTTCATTGTCTGTTATTATCGCGGTGTCGGTGAAACGAATCTTATTTACCGTATTTATTATAATACAATTTAATATACCCGTCAAAAAATTTAACATATTAATTTCCCCAAAAAAGACAAAATAATGTAAAGGTTTACTAAGATGTAAATGGGAGCTGGAAGGTCAGATAATAGAACAAGTGATGGAGTTTAAACATCTAGGTATCACATTATCTAGCTACGGAAAGCTCGAAACCGAAGTAGAAGATCAAGTGAATAGAACAGACATAGCCGCAGACTGCCTAAATAAAACAATATGGAGAAATAAAAATATCGGGAAAGAAAAGAAAGGCAGAATTTACAAAACAGTCATCAGACTAATAATGAGATATTTACCCGGCAGAAACAAGATCTGACACATAGAGGACAAAAAGGATATTAGAAACAGCTGAGATGAAAACACTTAGAAAAATTAGACAAAATAGACAAAAAGGATATTAGAAACAGCTGAGATGAAAACACTTAGAAAAATTGGTAATACACTATGGGACACAGCTAGAAGTACAGATATATGACATAGAGAAGATATGGCACGGTGGAGAACATCAAAAACTGGGTAACTGAGTAACTTACTGGAGGCACATTGA